CGAGGGAGGGCAGCGCTGGCACACGCCGGAGGGGTCGGATGAACTCCTGGAGAGCAGGTGCTGGCACAGCCACACGCGGGGCGGAGCGGGGCCGTGGCTGCTCTCGACCCCCGGGCGGTGTCGGTGGGTGCTGGGGGCGCCGGGACCACCCGAAACGGCCGGGCACGTGTGATCCCCCTAAGGAACAGCATCGGGTAATGCTGCTGCCAGAGGCGGGGAGCTGGGCTAAGGGACCCTCAGCCGGGCCCGGGGATGTTTCACACCTTCAGTCTGACCCACCCAGCAGGTTGATAAGGATATGAAGCTTTAACACTGTCACAGGCGATAAAGTCCTCATTCTCCTGATCATCTCAGTAGCTTTTCTGTGCTCCTGTTCCAGCCTGAATTCACCTTTCTCTAGGGTGGTGGGTATTACTCCAGGTGAGTGGCACCAACACCTCCCACCTTGTGACTGACCAGCAAATCCCTACGGCAGGAGAAAGCTCTGACAAGCCAGGCAAGGGCCGTTGCTCCTGGAGCTCCAGGGAGGATGTAGGGAGTGACTGACCTGAGCTGCTGCCACCAGCTGAACAATCTCCCCCCCGAGGGGGCTGGAGGGCAGCCCTGGTTTAGATCAACCGGCCACTGGCTGCAGGGATGCTCCAGCTGTTCCAGGTCAGCGGGCCAACAGCTCTGTCACTTCATCCCTGAAGTAACGGGAAGGGCACAAAAGCCTTCCGAGTCAGCAGGATCAGAAGGGGGGAGAAGGACTGTGTAAGCGGACGAGCCCGACAGAGAACATAAAAACGGAACAAGAACTCAAAGACAGCGAGTGCTTGAGCTGGTGTCAACCCGCTTGTGCCTTCAAGGCGAGGGGGGATGGCTGCCGTGGTGTGAGTACATTGCTGTGACACTCTGTTAAATCAAAACCCCGTGTAACATCAAGTACCTTCAAAGCAGTGAATCTGGTATGAAACCCCAAACCTGCCACGTGTGGAACATCTGAAAGCAGCTGGGCAGTGACCCGGGCTCAGCACGTCTGGCTGCTCTAAAGCGTGAGGAAACTTCCTCCTCGAGGAGATGCCACCTCTGTGGAGACCAATGGTACGTCCCTGCAGTGCCCAGCGTGGAGCCAGCAGGGCTGGGGTGAACAGTGTTCCAGGCTGAAGGGAGACTGGGGGAAAGAGAACAGCAAAGCTCTCCCCGTGCAAGGACGGAATCCTTTAACGGCGCCAGGTGCCCAAAGCTGTGACAGCGCCATGCTTGATTGCTGGAGGAGGATAAAGGTACCACCCCTGCAGCTGCAGCAAGCACGCTGTGGCCCGTTCTGGATGCTTCATTACCCAAATGATGTTAACCAGCGAGAAGCAGCTTTGAGAAACGCACAGTGAGATCAGAAAACTAGAAGGGCTGAGTTCTGAGGGGATGGAAAGAACCCCCACTGCACGGTGCCCGTGGGCACCCGCCCGTGGGCACCCGCCTGGAGGTGGGAAGCCTGACCTGGCAGTGACCCACCAGCCACACACGCTCCCAGGAGTAAGAAGTTGCTTACAGGGATGTAAGCTCTGAAGCCTGAATTAAGTTTGTTCTGCTCTGGAGCTTTGTTACAGCCACCCACCAGGAGAGCAACGCGTCCATCAGCCATGTGCACAGACCCGCCGGGCAAAACTCGGGGGGGTTTGGGGGTAAAGCTTCACCGACAGGAACAACCCTGTGCGTTGCTCCAGAGCGCTCGGCGCTTCCGATGGCCGCCTGCACCCTTCCAGCACCCCAGGGCACCGGGCCCGGAGAGAGGCTGCGCCACTGCCCAGATCCTGAGGAGCCCCTTCTGAGAACCTCCGCTCTAAAGTGTCTCCCCCACCTCTCCCAGGCAGTCTCATTCGCTGGGTGTAGGACGTTCTGGTGCAGAAATGCTGTGAAATGGGATTTCACCAAAACCCAGGACGGGTTATCCAGGGGATCTTCTGCAAATGCACTGGGAGCTGCAACGAGCTGCCACCCACCAGCTCGGGCGGCGGAATCCAATACCCACAGCTGAGCTCCTGCCCGTCACCCCTCCTTCAACGTGCTGAGCAAGATGGACTCCTGCAGCCTCAAACCTTTTCTCAGCTCGTGAATCACTCCGAGGGCCGTTTAGAATTCTGCTCAGTAATGTCAGATCCATCCCGTGGTGTGAACGTCTGACTTGCACAAAGTGATGTTTTAGTGATCTCCCAGAGCTGCAGCCAGAATAGGCAAGTTCACATAACTCCCGAAGTTTGTCCTTTACATCTACAAAATATCTCTGCCACATCCTACGCAATCAACTAACGATAACACAATTATCTTGGAGAAACCCATGTCCTTCGCTGAATTACATTTTTCCAGGGTAATTTCATACGCTGTAACCTACATTCTCCGCTTGCAGACATGTCATCTCGCAGGGGCTGCTGGAACACGGCTGCTCCAGCAGGGAAGCCACACCGCCCTGCAGCAGTTGCTCTGCCGTCAGCTATCCCCCCGCCTGCGGTCCCTGCGGCCCCTGCACACGCCGGGGCTTCCCACTATTTGGAAACACCGACAGAAGTGTTGAGCTGCGGGGATCAAAACACGCAGAGACCTTGCTGGGCTGGCCCCCACACTGTACCCCCCCGCAGCAGACGCTTTCTGCAGCGTGCCCCTGCACGACTTCCCAACGCTTCTATGCTGCGTTCGCCCTGGTGCTTGTGTTCGGTGTGAGTTTATTTATGCTCAGTCTCGTGGTGTTGAGGAGGCCAACGCCTCCTCGCCCTCACCGGTCCCGTCGTGCTGTCGGGAAACGCGGCAGGTTTGTCTCCACCTTCCACGGACCCACGCCGTGTGACAGCAATTGTACTTTCCTTCTCTTAATTCTTTGTTGATGGTGCTTCAAATTAATTGCTTCGTTAATTTAGCACTGATGCTGAGCTAAACAAGCTACAGTTTCCTGCACCACCTATTTTATACCCTCAGAATATTAGAATAGCAACAGCCCTCTACCAACCCTTTGAAATTTCGTAGATGAGCAAGATTTTGAGGTATTAACATCAGTGGTTCAGACAACTCCTCAGCTAGGCTCTTTTAGACACTTGGGTATCTGTTATTCAAGCCTGTTAATTTGAGTATGTTTATTTTTAGCAAATACTATCTCACTTTCTCCTTGGTTACAGCTGGGAAACTTTCTGTTCCAAGCACATCATATGGATAGATACATCCTCCTGATTTGTTCCAAACTCAGAGCAGAACATTTCTTTTTTTTTTTTTTTTTTTTTTGCACCAGAATATACAATTTTATCATTTACATATAGAAATGGATCTTTACCAGATTTTATTTTCTTCTAATGCTCTAAAATTTCTTATTATCTTTACAAGTTGGCCTTTGATATTTCCTTTGGCTTCCCTTATCAACCTCCCACACACTTCAGCTCAAATTAATGGCATTTCCTTCTCCTCTACTTGCTAACCTTTCCAGTTAAAAGGGGATACATGTGTCTGTAAGTAATATTTAACTGCTCCTTCGTATCTCACTGAAGTGGGTGATGTCGTGCCCGGCAGAGTTTTTCCCCTGATTTTTGGACTGCATTTAGCAGTGTAGCCTCAAATAACCCTTAGTTTTTGTTAATTATGTAAAATTAGTGCCCCCAAATATCAGAAACTCTTGAGGTTCAGAAGAATGGCGCTCTTTCCTCCCCAGGAGACATGCATGCGTTGCCGAACGCTCTGCACATGAGCCCAGCCAGAGCCTGACCACCAGACCTGCTGCTTTTTATTGGAGCCATCAGTTCTTTTTTTTTTTTTTAATCTGTCAAATGAAATTAATCCTAGATTACATTATCTCACAGCAACAATATTTCACTAGAGACGCTCAGGGACATCCCCTGTTGAACTGGCCTCCTCCCTACCCACAAGGAGAGGGGCCTGGGGGGTCTCCTCAGCACCCCCAGGAGCCTTCTCACTGCCCTGCCCTCCGCGCCGCTTTGGCAGTGGGATCCCAGGTCGACTGTTAATTGCCGTTTTCTTTTAACAATGCTTTTGTATGACTATATAATACAGACCTAAATAAACCATCCAGCAATTTCCACCAGCGCTGGTACCTAGAGGCGCAGGTGCTCGATGGACGCGCGGAATGGAAGCGCACACACTCCTGTCCCCCTCACTGGTTCCCCGAGGGAGGGGATGAAGGACCCGCAGCCCGCCAGGGCTCAGAGAAGACACACAGGCTGTGCTCGGCACTCCTGGTCAGACAAGGCAGGGTTTCCAAACCCCAGTCCCAGCCTGTGGTGCCACCCCAGGCCGGCGCTGGTGAGCACTAAGTGTGTGTAATGGTGCAAGTGTCGTCACGCGCCCTGTTCCGGGGCTGGGCACAGACAGGCAGACACCCGGGTACCCTCCGCAGCAGCCACCACGTTCCAACTCCCCTTCGGTCAGAGGTATCTCCACAGAGCCCGATGCTGAGCTCTGCACGACCGCCTCAATCTCTGCGGTTTGAAACCGTCCCTCGGGGAACGCTGCCTCTTTGTGCCGCCGCTGTGAGTCACCCCCACCTCCCTGCCCCTCGAGGGTCACGCACCAGGACACGCAGCCGCCTTGGGGTGCGCCATCCATGCTCCGGTGCAGCGTCCATCCCAGGACGTGAGCACATACGCTCTTCGCCTTAGCAGGATCTGAAGGGCCTGTAGGACCTGGATCTGTAGCACCCAGGATCTGTAGGACTCAGGATCTGTAGAACCTGGATCTGTAGCACCCAGGATCTGTAAGACTCAGGATATGTAGGACCCAGGATCTGTAGAACCTGGATTTGTAGGATCTGGATTTACAGGATCTGGATCTGTAGGACCCAGGATCTGTAGGGCCCAGGATCTGTAGGACCCAGGATCTGTAGAACCTGAATATGTAGGACCTGGATCTGTAGGACCCAGGATCTGTAGGACCTGGATCTGTAGGACCTGGATCTGTAGGACCCAGGCTGTCGGCATGTTGTAGGAAGGAGTGAAGCCCACCTACTCCTATAGTTCTGCCAAACCCTTCAGTTCAGAGTGAAAGAGCCCAGAAGACCTTGTGTCGGTGCGCTGGAAGCCCAATTCCTGGGGCCGTGCAGTTGCCTTCCTCTCTCCTTCCATTCCCTCACCCCTGTGCGTCCTCGCTCAGTTCACGCTGCGCGGCCACGCCAGGCGGGGGGTGGCAAGAGCAGACTGAGCTCCTGAGGCCGGGGAGGGGGCAGCACGGCTCCCCCAACCCTGCGTCTCACCCGCAGGCCGCGGCACCGGCACTGACGTTACGGGTGGCACGTGCTGGACCCGGAGCGGAGACGCCTCCCGAGCACCCCCCGGCCCTGAAACGCGCCCGAGCGCTGCTGCCAGCTCCAGCCCAGCCACCCAAGCCCTGCCCGTGGCACCACCCCTGCGGCGGCCAGCGGGAGGTAGGGCCCTTCCTGACCCCGTCTGTCACACGGATAAAGAACAACAAAATGCATTTGAAACGGGGAGAGGGCTCTGCCTCGGCAAAACAAAACTCCGGGAGGAAAACAGGAAAGAGGCCATTCAGAGGCCACCTTGGCTAAAAGCCTCCAGTGGTTCTGCCAGGTGACTCTGTGCCGGGAGAGCGCCAGGAACCACGTCGGGCCTTTCCTCATCACCCTCATCCCTGTCGCTGTCCGGGCACCACGCGCCAGCCACCGCTGCTGTCCCGGCTGGGTTGCCGCCTGCCCCACGCCCGCGCTGGACGCGCTGCGGGAGGGTCGGGGACTCCCCTGCCCGCTGCCCCGCACTGCTCATCACCCTCCTCAAAAACCCTGAGCAGCCTAAAGGCGACTGCAGGGCCCAGGGCAACGGAGACAAAACGACAGCACGGGCCAGCTCCATTCCTGACAGTCTGTCCCCAGCACCTCTTCTGGGTGAAGTGAAGAGCCGCTGTGGAGGACACAGCTCTGCCAGGTCAGCACCTGGCCGGGCCACGGGGCTGCCCCCTCGGTCCTGGCACCTCAGCCGGGGGACTCTGCGGCCGCGCTTGCAGATGGGGAGAGAAGGGTGTTAGAGAACAGGGACCGAAGGCCAGAGAGGAGAGGCAGGTACGGAGGAGGAATGGCAGTACGGGCCCCGGGGACACTCAATCTTCTTGCCCTGAGGACAGGACACTCGGGAGCTTCCCTGGGGTTCAGGGAGCGCCGACAGCAAACACGAAGATCTGCGCGTCCGCGGCGGTCGCAGGGCTCTGCTGTGGCGGAGACGTGGGGCTGTGTGTGTGAGCAGGACGCGGGGATGTCCCCAACGGGCTGCGGGGCAAGGACGGGCCGGGAAGGGAGACGTCTCTGGGTGACGGAGCTCCTGCCCGCACTGAGCTGCGGCGTGGGAGCACACATGTGCCCTCCGCGAGTGTCTGACCCAGGCCGGGCACAGGAGGACATGGGCTGTTCCCAGAGGTCCACCAACAACTGGGGGAAGCCTTGCAAACCCTCGTCCTCTCCAGGGGCGCGACTGTGCAGACATCCTGGGAAGGCAGTGGGTCACTGGCCGGGGAATCCCGGAGGCTCCCAGACAGCTGGAACCCTTTCCTTACACCAGCCCTGGCTGCTAGTGCCCTTCTGCTCGACTTGCTGCTCACGACGGGATAAAATCGGGGGTGAAGGCGGCCCCGGGGCAGCTCGGGCTGCAGCCGCTGCAAGATGGCTGCAATGTGTGCCCGGAGGACGGCGCGAGAGGCGAGGGGCAGGGGCAGGATCCTGAGGTTCAGGACAGACTTCACCTTCCTGGGAAAGCCCAAAGGGAAGGGGGGGCTGTTTTTTAAAGAAAAAAGTTGAGATCTCAGGAACAACCCAGCCAGCCTGTCATTTAGGAAGACTGGGGGGTTTTGCAGAAGGCTTGACTGGTAAGGCATCAAGCTCCTTAACGAACTTGATAAATGATCCTTAATAAAATGCAAAGAGCACATACAAGAAGGAGAAACAGAGAAGCACCAAAATAATAAAAACATTGATCAAGCACTAGGGATGGTATCAGGAGCAAAGACTAT